TACATATGTGGTGTACAAGTGTGTGTGTGTGTGTGTGTTTACTAGTTGTGTTTTTGAGGGGGTTGAGCTTTGCTCTTTCGGCCCGCCTCTCAACTGTTTACTAACTACTTTTTTTTTTTTTTTTTTTTTTCACCACACACACACACACCCCAGGAAGCAGCCCGTGACAGCTGACTAACTCCCAGGTACCTGTTTACTGCTAGGTAACAGGGGCACTTAGGGTGAAAGAAACTTTGCCTATTTGTTTCTGCCTCATGCGGGAATCGAACCCGCGCCACAGAATTACGAGTCCTGCGCGCTATCCACCAGGCTACGAGGCCCCTTCCTCGCATGTGTGTGTGTGTGTGTGTGTGTGTTTGTCGCCCCTGTACCCACAAACTCCTCGGGTAGAGCTCACCATGTGCTTGCACCCTCAACACCACATATAGTATCACCTTAGTGTTAATAACTAAATCAACAAAGTGTAGGGTCGTGTCCTGTGTGTGTGTGTGTGTTTATGACAACTCGAGACGATGGTTTGTGAGGGCAGGCTTGAGTGTGACACACTTCTACTTGAAGTCTTGAGGCTACAGCGTCCAGAGTCACCCGTCCATTACACAAAGGTGTTGTTAACATGTGAGCAGTGGGTGTAGGCTGGTCAGTGTATTCGACAATCTCTAGTTATCTACCAAAGTATCACACGACTCTCGTTATGACGTATGCCAACAGAAAACTATCAGTGAGGTCCATAATCCAGTACTACTAGCAAATGTCTGGATATATACCAGTGTTTGTGATTACAATCCCAGGCTAATACTCACTTAATGGCCTAACAATATCTTGTGATCTTGCGTTCTGGTACACGTGTGTCGTGCTATCCACCGGGCTGAACGAATTTTCAGCGTAAATAAATCAATATCTATACCATATGAGATAATGTTTGTTTGTCTGTATAAAGTTGGAGGCCAGATGCTTGTTGCTAGCTTCACTCAAATTTGTAGAGGAGAATGGTCTGGGGTACGGGACGGACATAGGCCGGTCGGGGGCCTACCCCAACCGGCCTATGTCCGTTCTGTACCCGAGGTAAATGATTTAAAAAATATTAGAAGTTATAAACACACCCAGACAAGTTTCATGGGAACAATCGTGAATTATGTATTGTGATTATCGTAGAGTTTTTGTGATCGTAATAAATCCAATCTACTGGACTGGCTGCAGCAGCATGTAGGTTTTATAGAAATAATATTTGCACACAGACTGTCAGTGTCAGGTTAAACAACTGCCTGACCTCCACACAAGCAGAACTAGCAGTACTACAACTAGCTACCAGTACATTAAAAAAAACTCTTATTTATCCTTCAATGCATGTGAGTCAAAGTCTGCTCTTCAAGCAATCGAAAACTTCTGCTGGAAGATCGACAGCAAGAATCAATTATAAATGACCTAATCGCTGCACAGAGTAAAGGGTTTCGAATCCCCGTTGTATGGATACCATCACACAAAAATATAACCCATTATAATGAGACAGACATTGCAGCCAAATTAGCGTGTAACAAAGATGAAGTTGAATTAGATCTAGGTATCCCCATCTCTGCTGTCAAAACTATATTGTTCCAAACACTCATGTCTGATAGGAAAGAAATTACTGACTCCCAACGACCTGAAAGCACCAGTATAAAAAGCAATGATTTGTTCAGATCTGAAACCTATATTTATGGGCAGCACAAAACGTCCACCAGACTGTGCGACACCGTGGTTGCAAGGATCAGGTTGGGTTACCGTTACCTGTGGCAGGTGGCTACAGGTGACGGATCTCCCAATCCTGATCACTCCAGGTGAAAACTCTGTGAGCAGGAACTACGGCATGATCTCCCACACTACATCACCGAATACCCAGTCATTAGACCATTCAGACCCGTTGGCATGAGGTACCTGGAGCTTTGCAATTACTTTATTCACTCTCGTATTCTTGAAGACATCCTCATATTGCATCCAGAATTTGTCAGTGCAGGCTGCTGAACATATGGCCCTGTATGACTAACCATCCTGCGGGTCTTATAGTATCACTGCTACCTTATTCACTCTAGGGATTTTTAGCATCACGTAGCTAACTTTTTGACACACTACTCCTCTTCATATAGGCTATTTAGCTGCACAGATGCAGATGTACTTAATGTGTTAATAAAAAAATTCTAAGAGGCCCATATAGCTGATTCATTGCTTCTTAATAATCATTTTTCTGAGAGAAGCGGGAAGCAGAGGGGGGGGGGGGGTTAGGAGGAAGGGGGAAGGAAAGAAGTTGGGGGAAAACGGGTAGGAAGAGGGGGAATTTTAAAGGGGAGGATCAAGTGGAAGGAGTCGAGGGCTTAAGTTAAAGTTGGGGGAAGAGGGAGAAAAGAGGGGGGAAAAGGCCCGGGTGCAGCCGGATGCCCCTTCTAAATAAATAAATGGTAACTTCTCCAACTTTTCGAAATTGGCGCGGGAAGGATAAGGAAATGGGAGAAGGGGAGGGTAGAGAGGAGGAGGAGGACGTGAAGGAAGGGAGGGAGAGAAGAGAGGGGATCGAGGTAGGAAGATATGGGGAAGGAGGAGTGAAGATGGAAGAAGAGAGGGGACCTGATAGTTGAATGATGGTTGGTCGAGTCCCTAGAGTTCTACAGTGTAAACAAACGCGTTGAATTAGATCTAGGTATCCCTATCTCTACTGTCAAAACTGTATTGGTCCAAACACTCAGATCTGATAGGAAAGAACTTACTGACTCACAACGACCTGAAAGTACTAGCATAAAAAGCTATGATTTGTTCAGATCTGAAACCTATATCTATGGGCAGCACAAAACGTCCACTAGACTGTGCGACACAGTGGTTGCAAGGATCAGGTTGGGTTACCGTTACCTGTGGCAGGTGGCTGCAGGTGACGGGTCTTCCAATCCTGAGCACTCCAGTTGCAAACTCTGTGAGCAGGAACTACGGCACGATCTTCCGCACTACATCACTGAATGCCCAGTTATTAGACCTTTCAGACCAGTTGGCATGAGGTACCTGGAGTTCTGCAATTACTTTATTCACTCTCGTATTCTTGAAGATATCCTCACAGTGTACCCAAAATTTGCCAGTGCAGGCTACTAAACTTATGGCCCTGTATGACTAACCATCCTGCGAGATGGGGACTTTTATTACCACTGCTATCTTATTCAATCTTGTGTTGATGATATCCTCAAAATGCATCCGGAGTCTGCCAGTGCAGACTGCTTATCACATGCCTCTGTATGACTAACCATCCTGTGTGATGGGGATTTTTTAGCATCACCTAGTTAGCTTTTTTGACACCTGTACTCCACTTCATATAGTCTAGGGTAGCTGCACTAATGCAGATGTACCTCATGTTTGGACTCCTCCGCCTGGGAGCCGCCGGATCACGTTCTGTTTTCGCGTTTTGGCTTTGCTACTGCCGTTTGGCATCCCTATTCCACGGTCCGGATATGGCTGGCACGCATATCGCCTTGGGTCACGGAAAATCGCGGCCGTCAAATCTCACTGGGGTAACTAAAAACGGGTGCGCCAAATTGCGGCCGTCAAATCTCACTGGGGTAACTAAAAACGGGTGCGCCAAATCGCGGCCGTCGGAAAAAGCAAAACGGCTGCGATTTGGGGCCTTTCCCACTACATTGGCCGAGAGGCGCCGGGGGTAGGTGGATCTTGGTGGGCTCTTGATGTGCCCTCAGTCGTGGTAGGCGGCTGACTTCTGCTCTGCCGGAGGGCACTGGATGACTTTTGTGTTTTAGCTGGAGGCCAAGTTTTTGGTTTTGCTACCCAATGTTCTGTGTGTGGGGCGGGGCTGGTGCTTGTCACCCTAAGGAACTCCTGGGGCGCCCCAATCATCTGCCTGTCTGCGTTTCTTTGCCTCGTGGCATATTAGTTTCCGGTGATTGGCGTGACTTATTTCGCGATTTGGCTTGGCGTTTCACCTTTCCGGGCATCGTGATTAACCCTTAACGGGTACGCCGGGGCGCATCCGATCCCACGATCGTCGTCGCCCCTAAATCAACAACAACAACATTGTTTAAGCCAGCGAGAGATATAGAGGGAAGACGGGGAGGGGAGAGAAGGGAAGGGAACTATCAGGGAGAAAGCACCAAGTCATTGCAGAGAGAGAGGAAGAGGTGTGAGAGGAGCACAGGAGGGAAGTTGAGGGAGCATAGGGTGTAGAGAGGGTGGAAAAGAAAGGGAGATTGAGATAGGAGAGGTATAGGGAGGATCCTGAGGGGAGGGAAACGGAACTATCAGGAGGAAAGCGACAATCCATTGCGACTTTATAGCACTGGGAAGGGGTCAGGATATGGATTTGGGATGGGACGGAAGGAAAGGAATAGTGTCCAACCACTTGGATGGTCGAGGATTGAACGCCGACTTGCATGAAGCGAGACCGTCGCTCTACCGTCCTCCCCAAGGATTTTGGGGGTAAAAATTGTAGAGGGGAAGATAGGAGAAGTGTGGGGATCAGGGAAAACTCGGCGAGAGAGGGCGGGGAGTGAGAAAAGAAGGAGAGAGACCCGGGTGCAGCCGGTTACCTTCGACAGTAAATACGCAAGACAACCCAGCAAATCAACGGGCATTACTGACGTGATGTCCGGAGCTTTGCCCCATTTGGTGTGCGTCTAAACGTGTAGTGAGAGCATAATCCAATGTTTACTGTATCACAGAATATCTACTTATGAACCATATAAACCAATGTTTACTGCCTCTGGATCGTATAGCAGCAGCAGCAACAACAGTAGCAGCAGCAACAACAGCAGCAGCAGCAACAGCAGCAGCAGCAGCAATAACAGGAAAAGCGGCAGTAGCAGCAGCAGCAACAGCAGCAGCAGCAACAGCAGCAGCAACACCAGGAGTAGCAGCCAGCAACATCAGGAGCAGCAACAACAGCAGGAGCAGTAGCATTAACAACAGCAGGAGCAGTTGCATCAGCAACAGCAGCAACAACAATATCAACAGCAGCATGAGCAGCAGCAGCAACGTACCCGTGAAGAGGAAGTGGATGGCCGTGGGGTTCCGGTAGAGCTTGGGGCGGTCAGTGACGTTGGTCAGCACGGCAGGTCTCTTAGACACGCGGCACTCCGAGGCACCTCCTGCTGTTGTCAGCACTGACACCGAGTGGCACGTTGGCAGCACCTGACACCGTCGGTGGCACTCACCTGCAGGAGAGAACCAGCCCCGGTTATAGTGTTTGGCTGGAGAGTTAAGGTACACGGACCTGCATACAGACTGACACGGAAGCACACATAATGGTGCCGTGACACCCTGGGGCCGATGCCTGACCGCTGCCACTGGCAAACACCAACACCAGAACAGTTATTGTCAAGCTAGTTGCTCTTGGCACAATTATACAAAATAACCATAATTAGAATTTAATACTCTCTAAGTTACTGGAAATCAAGCAGTCGTCACGGTATTCTCTTCATGTACTTATAACCTGCATTTGACACTTAAAGACTCTCCCTTGTCTGCGTCTAACATTCCCACCAGCCTGCCTGCTGAACCTCTGTGCTTCTTGCTAAAGCAGCTTCCTATTTACAGAATTTTTTTTCCTTATCTCTTTATTTACTCTGTTTTTTTTCGGTTAACTAATCTTTTCACATGTTTTTTACTCTCATCTTACTATCTTTTCTTTCTTCTCTTGTCTCTTTTATATTTATAAAAGTGGCTTCTTCGTCTTACCATGAACTGGTCGGGCCATCATCTCATCCCAGCAAGTAGCGCCTCTGAGCAACTCACCACTCTTCCTTGGCGGTCTTAATTATCCAACCAACTTAACTATCTATCCTTGGTGGTCCCAACTAGCTTATGTGCATCCCACACTCTAAAATCACTAACAACTCCTTATTTTGTGTTCTACCAGTTCTCTATCAATCAACTTCTCAGCATATATGCTTCGGCCTCTTGGATGTTGATGAGATACGATCACCTTTCCCCGCTTGATCTTGTAGTATACAACATCAACATGCGACCAAAGCGGCCTCCAGACAGTTCTCTCTCAGCTCTCACTCACACACATTATACTTTTCTCGATAATCTCACAGTCAATTAAACTTATACAGTATCCTGTATATTGTGTATTTAAGAACATTTAAGAATAAAAAAACACCGATTAGTAATACGTAACTCTCTTTTGCAAAACCCTTTTAATCTAAGGCTATTTTTTCATGAAGTGCCTTTACTACATATACGATCATTCTGAGGCTTAATTGCCACTCGCAAATTAGATCAACCATTGTGTTTTTTTTTAACTTCTGACTCCCCTAAAATAAGGAACTAACTAGCCACTGAGAAACTTGTTTTCTTCTTGGTGTAGTGGACTGTATCTATTCTGTGTTCCCTAATTGGCTCAGTTTTCAGAGTGATCCAACAGAAATAGGGCTGCTTTTATTAACCTGTTGAAAATGGAAAAATCTTCACTTACCACTTGGTAAAAAAGAATATGTATAAATGCAGCTAGCACTGATATAGCTACAAATTATTTTAGCCAATCCATTTAATCTGGTATCTGGCCGCATATAAATTATTATATACAATAACAAGATTATATAATGATATGAATTTATCTATTGCAAATGTAAACTTTAATTTTAGTGGCAAGTAATTGACTTACTGAGGTGAGCTTGTAAACTCGTGGTAGTGACCACACCTGCAATATAATGGGGGTTAATGGCACAAAAACACATTGGATCCAATCTCTATTTAATAATACACCACAACCTCTTATTTTGTTAGGGTGCAGGTACGGAGCTCTGTCGCATAGTACTAAGACTTTAGCCCTTTTGTAGGACCAGAGTTTGTAGTGTTGTTCACTACTGTTGTTGAAATGTCGGTATTGACTCCGTCAGCTTCTGGCTTCAAGCGTTGTTTACGCTCCACTCACAGTTTATGGTAGGACACACTTGTTTCATTAAAATAGTGTCTCAATGTTTATACACATTTACGCACAGTTACCACCACTTTCAGGTCCACGGTTGTTAAACGGCTGCAAATAAAGCAGCCTGAACTTTTTGGAGTATTCTCATGGTAGAGGAGATATGTTTACGTGTGTGTGTGAGGGAGTGAGGCATCATAGCTGTGGTGGTGTACTCACATACTCCTCTCACTGGTTTTATGGCAAGACACATAATCAAAACACGGTTGGCAGCCGTGGAGTGAGGACGTTTCTCGACCCTCCGTGGCTGTTGGCGGTGTTTGCTGTTTTGGTCGCCAGGTGGTGTGGGCGTCATTGCCCTACCAGTTTTGTTGCCTGCCTGGCTGCGTTGACGTGGCAGTTCTGACATGGGGGGCCATCTTCCTCCTGTTCAGCGTGTGAACTCCGTGGGCCTGGAGTTTACTTGTAAGGCTGGTTATCCGACCATCGAGATGGTGATGTGTGACATGCTTCGTGTTCCGGTGGAAGCTGTTTACGGTGTGGAGCTCGTTTCGGCCCATCGGGTTGTTATTAAGTTCGTGGGGGAGGACGAGTACCGGGACTTCCTCCGTCGGTACGAGGGGCGTACGTTGCCGTTGCCAGACGATGCCGGCTCTGTGGCGTTTCGGACCGCAGTGGTGCCCTGACTTATGTCATTATGTCAGTATCCATGGTGCGCCCCTGAAGTTCCCTGATGACCTCCTCCGGCGTTACTTCGGGGGTTTTGGAACTGTTGTCAGCGTGCGGGTGAACACGCTCTCCTCGGGGCGGTATGCTGGGAGGCGTACAAACATTCGCACGTTGGGGATGCGCCTGCGGTCGGATATACCATCTTCTGTCCGGCTTATGGGGTACTACGTCCGGGTGTATTATGCCCGGCAGCCTCGTACCTGTTTCCGATGTGGCCTGTTGGGGCATCAGGCTGCCGGATGCTCTGAGGCCCCTGCTGCTCCTGTCAACTTGTTCCGCGACGAGGATTTCCCACCGCTCCCTCTGGAGGCAGTCTCCGGTGATGTTGATGAGGTGGTGCGCGTCCCGTCTGCTGCTGCAGCTTCCCCGGCGGCGCCTGCCGTTCCTCCGGTTGTTGCCGTCCCTCCTCCGGTTCTTGAGGTACCGTCGGTTGGTCTGCCTGATCCTGTTGCTGTTCCAACTGCTCCCGTGGGCCTTCCTGGAGTTCCCTTGTGTGACGTCGCTGTCTTCTCCCTCGTCTTCTGATGCTGCGCCTGGCCCTGTGTCCGTGACTCGGGTCCCGGATGTGCTTGGTGCTGGGGTGACTGCGGAGCCTCCTGTTGTGTGTGGCCCGGTTCCCCATGTGGTAGAGGCTGCTGCCGTCCTGGCGTCGGTTCCTTCGGCTCGTGGTACCCGTGTTTCTGGGTCACTTACCGGCTCGGACGATATCCGGCCGGTGCCCAAACGTTCCCGGCGTTCGTCTTCTTCCTGGGCCGACGTTGGTGACTTCAGTGACTGTAGGGCTTCGGATGTTGACAGTGTGGATACGGATGCGTCGAGGTCTCCGCGGTTCGTGGTGGCGGAGGTCCATGTGCCTGCCGGTGCTGGTGCCTGTGTCTCGGACGTGCCTTCGGTTCTTTCTCCGCCAGGGGACTCTCCACAGTGAGGGGTGGTGGCTTCCGCTGCCAGGGATGGTGTGGACTCTGGTGCTGGGCGTGGCCTGGTGGTGACGTTACGGAAGGATGCGCGCCGTCCGGGTTCCCTGCTGTCGTCTGGTAGTGTGCCCGAGGCCGCGGGTACCCCTGTGGTGCGGGTGCGCGTTGGGGCCCTGGGGGACGTGTTGCCGGCGTCTGTGATGCCACCGGGTCACTGGTCGAAGATTGCCGAGTTACTGCTGTCTGACGGACCGGAGTGCTTTCGTGGGGGGCAAGTTCCCTTCCTGTGGGGGCGAGTGGCGACTTCTCGCCTCATGAGTTCTACCATCTGGGTCCCCAGTTTGCAGGTGTTTGTTGCCCCGGTTCCGGATGTTATGGCGTCCCCGGTGGATGGACGAGACCCTTGGCAATGGGTGCTCTGGGAGGCGTTCAATGTAAGATTCCCGCGGGCCAAGTTCCCAGGCAAGTATGTGCTCTGATTTCTTGTGTATTTGCTCTATGACATGCTGTGTGCCCTTCTGGCTGTTTGTTTGCCCTGTTTTGTTATGTGCTTCTGCCTCTCCCTTTGTGCGTAGCTTTGCCGTGTGGCATATTAGTTTCTAGTGCTTGGCGTCACTCGTTTCGCGTTTTGGCTTAGCATTTCGCCTTTCCTGGCTTTGCGATTCACCCTTCACGGGTACGCCGGGGCGCATCCGATCCCACGATCGTCGTCGCCCCCTAACTCAACAACAACAACAACATAATCAAAACACCTTAAATAATGTATCCTGTTTATTATGCACATTGTATGTGCAGTTCACACCACCATTCAGGTCCACAGAAGTTAAACGGCGGCAAATAAAGCCGCGTGAACTTCGTGGAGTGTGTCTTCATGGCGGAAGAGTAATGTTTACTTGTGTGTGGGAGGGTGTGAGGTGTCACAGTTGTGGCGTTGTCCACACACTCTTCTCACTGTGGCAAGACCCTTTTATCACTTAAATAGAGTCTTCTGCATTTAATTCACATTGTACGTGCAACTGACACCACCATTCAGGTCCACAGATGTTATACGGCAGCAAATTAAGGAGCTTGAACTGCCTGGAATATCCTCATGATGGAGGAGCCATGTTTACTATTGTCGTACAGCGTTTAAACACTGATGTAATTCACCGAAAGATGAGTATCGTTGCCCTGCCTCTTTTAATGATCCATTTATACAAATGTTAACCAAATGTAGCTACCATTTGGCTAAACAATTATTTATTGAGTATATGCATTTATTTTAGAGTATTACAATGATATGCTTATAGCTGTGAGATGAAATTTCCTATCCTGATATGGACCATTAAGGAGGCCTTCTGTGATGGTGTAGATCATAAAATGGTTGTAATATGCTGACTTGACACTTTCTCTGTTTCCAGAGAGTTTGGCGCTCAATAAATAGCCATGCCTGGCCCATGTTCTTTCACAGAACATTATTAAAACATGTTATGCTATAATGTTGGTGGAAAATCTTTCACAATCATTACAGTAATTCTTTATTGTAATAGGTACCATGGTAATAGTACCATAATAGGTACCATAATAGGTATCATTTATAGGTACCATAATCTCATTTTCTAAGCATTCGGAAACATTTTTTTTCTCACAGAACTGTGTAGTT